CCGAGTGGTCGCAAGTGCGACTGCCGGGCAAGGGGTCTCGGGTTCCATTCCCGGGTCGGGCAAAGTATTACTGAGTTTAAAAAAAAATCAGTAGTAGCACGGAGTCTGGAATTGTGCCCGGTATATGGCAATAGGCTCACCCCCTATTACATGGGACTTATAACATAAATAGTGAAAAGTGGGTGTTACATTGTACAGTGGCATAATGTACACCTCTGCCTATCCCTTCGGGGATAAAAGGCGTGATGTTATGTTATGTTACCTAATAGGTACATTCATTACAATATGCTATGCTTACATATACTTAGTTATCTGTGCAAGTATGCAATATTATATTATAGCTTATTGCAACTTGGCTGGCTGGTGTAAAGAAACTAAGAAAGGAATACAGCAATGTCATTTTTTCAGCGTGTAGTGGTTGCGGATTCGATTCCTATTCCTGTACTGAGGGCCAAGCACGAATAACTATCGCATTCGTAACGTAATAGTATCGAGCGCGTCCGGCGTTCTGATTATTCGTGCTTGGCCCTCAGAACAACTCTTTGTGTGGTAACGTGTATGTGATTTTTTTTCTTTTTTTTATCATTGGCCCACGCTACGATTTTTCCTTGTGTCGTGGGTGCGTTTACAAACATACAAGTTCACATACACATGACATCCAGACCCGAAACGACAATCTGTGGATCATATCAATGACATGCTGCAAATCAGCGGCATTCATTGTTATGCGGATGACAGCACAGGCGATGCCTACTACACCGGCCGCGCTAACATTTCTCGGGAAAACGTCATAGAGAGCCGAAACAGACTCGTGTCTGAAATCGAGACCTCTTTAGGGAGAATCTCTGATTGGGGTGGGCTTAATTTGGTCCAGTTTAACCCCACTAAGACACAAGTCTGCGTGTTTACCGCTAAGAAACTGCCGTTGGTCGTCTCTCCTCATTTTCAAAGCACCCCCCTAACTGCCTCAGCCGGTATTGGAATACTTGGTGTCAACATTTCGAGCGACGTCCAGTTTTGCGGTCATTTAGAGGATAAGGCCAAATTAGCCTCGAGGAAGCTTGGTGTGAATAGATCGAGGCAGTATTTCACCCCGGCCCACCGCCTGCTTCTATATAAGGCACAGGTGCGGCCCCACATGGAATACTGTTCTCATCTTTGGGCGGGGGCACCCCAGTACCAGCTTCTTCCTCTGGACCGCATTCAGCGGCGTGCCGTTCGGATTGTTGGATGTCCGGGTGTTTCAAACCGGCTCGACACTTTGGCAATGCGTAGAGATGTAGCTTCATTGTGCATTTTCTACCGCTTATACCACGGGGAGTGCTCTGAGGAATTGTTTGACCTGATACCTGCCGCATCTTTTCGCCATCGACCCTCACGACAGCATATGCATCCCCATCAAATACATGGTTGGCAGGCCACAACTGTGCGGTTCTCACGTAGCTTCCTGCCTCGCACAGCAAAACTGTGGAATGATCTGTCGTCAGCGGTATTTCCGAACCGATACGACCTTCAAACCTTCAAGAAAAGAGCGTACTCCTTTTTAAAAGGACGGCAACGCACCTGTGACTCTTCTGGTGTTGCGGGTGTCCATAGGCGGCGCTGATCGCTTACCATCAGGTGATCCGTCTGCTCGTTTGCCTCCAATTCCATAAAAAAAAAGGGAATCGAACCCGCTACACGTTGCGCGGAGGCCAGTTGCCCAGGCACGGCGCCAACCATGCAGTAAACCATTTGTATATTTGTAAAAGCACTTGCAACACAATAGAAAATCATCTAGGATTTTTTGTGCCTGTGGCGAGTTGGCTCTCCTTGAAGGAGCAACTTATCGTCATAATTTTAAATAATTACTTGAATAGGAAATGTTCTCTTAGGTCATGTATTAAATTAAAATTTAAAATGGACTCTGTAGAGGCCAATCTACACCCGTTTTAGTTATGAAACTTTAAAGCCATTAAAACAAAAAGTGGGTTAATAAGATTGGGTTTTTTTTGAAGGGGGTCATCCAAGTACTTCTCCCGCCTTGGGTTAGGCAAAAGGGGGTGTCAGACTCTTACTGACTAAACACCACCCCGTTCCTATTCCTGCTCTTCGAGCCGGAGCCACGGCAACGCGTTAGGCCTTCCGCGGTTAGATATCGGACATCAGCCCTATTGGGCCCCATCTGTGACGCGGACCGGACGCACGGAACACTTATTTCAGAACCAGACTGAAATAAGTGTGGCTAGTTACCTTATTTGTATGATTCTCAGTGTCAATAAGTACCAATAGTACCTAATTATTGTATTTAACAATTGGGTAGTAGCCTGGGTCAAAAATAAATTATTTTGATTTTTCAATCCAATTAAATATTGAAAAATAGTTACACTTTCATTCATAGATTTGCCGATATACTTAATTTTTGATTTATTCTTGCATTTTCTTCAGATATAAGTGTGCTATTTGACGCGAAAATATGATGACGTCATAAGCTAGTATTTCGTACAAAATTCATATAACAGTATCGTTTTTGACGTTTCGATAAAAGTATTGAATTTGACTTGTTGTCAACTACCGTATTATTATGTTGCTTTAATACCTAGACACAGGTACCAAATACTTCGTAGTTAGTGGCAATAAAATTAAATATTATCATGAAACATATAAAAACTTAAGTGTTCCGAGATATACGTGAGGTCATTTTAAATTACGTTACCTAATTTTGTAAGGATTTCTTGTTCCGTACCTATAAGTAATAAAAAATCTGGTAAAATGAATTAGGTACCGTAAAATGGGGTGAATAGATACAGGAATGGGGTGGATAAGTGTTAGAATATTTATATTTGTATCTATTCACCCCTCGAATTCTATTTACCTACCCCTTTTTACTGTAAGCTAAATATCTATAGGTAACTTATTTTTATTTTTTGATGATGGGGGAATCCTTCAAAAGGTGCCTAACTTTTTAGGGAGGAAGATTAGGGAGTGTGGGATTCTTACCTCACTTAAACCACCCTGGTGGCCACCCTCAGCACCTATAAGAGGCACCGGGTCCTTTAAAGAGACCTGTTCCAGAGCCCCCACGGTGCAACGCCTGTTACAGCACATCCGTAGGGTAGGTACATATGCACCTACTTACGCTTCGCATCAAAATATATATAATAACCTAGGTCCAACCATTATCCATGCACCTACCTATGGTAGTTATTTTTTAACGTATACCTATTGTATCAATGAATTGGTCAAATAAGTAATTTAATCATGACACCATTGGGCATGCACACTTTTCAATAATAATTTAGATTAACTCATAACTGCTGGGCTGCTGGGCTATGGACGATCAGCATCGTCTACGCTGCGCTTGGCAAATGGTTTTGGAGATTGTAGTTTTTGTTAGCACTTATGCGATCTCTGTTAATTGTGCAGTTTTTATTACAACCCTAAAGTTCGCTCCCTGTAGTATACTACATACATACCACACATACATACATAACTTCACGCCTGTCTCCCATGGGGGTAAGCAGAGACTATGGACTTCTTACATACCTCTTTAGGTTTATCAACAGTCATCAATATTTTAATGCATGCTACTTTTAATTTGGCCCTTTTTTATTATACTATGTAGTATACTAGTCACTCAAAATACAGCAGAATTTGAAGCTGACATTGTAAACTTGTAACCAAGTAAAGTGTCTATGTAAGTAGGTAGGTATGTGTGTGTGGAGTTTCCCCCATTACGAAATCGTGTGTATAACATCACGTCAAATAAATACCTAGTTAGATTATTACCTTGTTCTGAGGTGACAATTTGGAGGCTACCTTGCCTAGGTAACGCATTATTAGCTTTTATGATAAGTTGCGTTTAATTCAAAACTATTAGGTATTTAGGTAAGTATGTTGATTAACGTGACGTGGCGTGGGTAGTGGATATCTGTATCACGAATGGCGGTACTTGGTAGTCCAAAATATATTTTTTTATTTTGATTTATAGTGCATTGATTTTAAAGTTGCATATCGTATGATATTTTTTTTGCATTTCGTTTACGCCCATTTTTTTTCTAACCAATCGTAACTTCCGATTTATAGTATGAGTAAATTATAAATGTATTAGTTTGGCGACATCGATTCTGGCAGAAATATTGTTTCAAGCTACTTCCATTGTATTCTATATTCCGTGGTAAGTACCCACTGTCGACTTTAACCATAGCACACAAATTCGATTTATGTACGCGTAATGTTCACGAAATGTAAGTGCTGCCATCTGTTGAATCGACAAAGATACACAAGTACTCGACTATGAATCCTGATACCAATAGTTCGGAGCAAAACGACTAGAGGGCGTAATTATTAGAATCAAATGGCATTTTTATTTTTGTATTATTTTTCCCATTAGATGCCTAGCTAAGCAATGTTGTACACTAAAGTAATTAGTAAAACAAATAAAACTCATGTACTAAATTTATTCAACACATTTTACAACAATATTCATTTGTCAAAATAACATTCAGAGCCGACTTCAGCTAACATGCCATGTCCTTTAACCGTTTACAATAACATTTACCATATTATTATCTAGACACCAGACAGTTATTATTTGCACATTACGACTTTAAAATTTAGCAAAAACCATTTCATTTCAAACTCTCACATCATGTGTATTTACTTGTCGAGTACCGTAATTATAGACACAATTAAAGAAAAATAGGTTGCGGTCACCAGTGACCGCTCGGTGTTTGACAGTTTAAATTGTAAGCATATTTACTTGAAATGATGAACTTATACAATAAATAATAGGTTTATATTAAAATATTTTTCATTATAACTCGTATATCAAGTCAAAATTATCAATATGTCATTTATTTCATTAATGAAAAGCCTATTCATACCAGTAATAAAATTATCACACATTTATCAATATTTTATTTTGGTGTCGTCTGTGTGTATTTTTTTAAGTTTGAACCTAGTAAAGCATAATTTTGTCTGTCAGATCAATTTCATTTTATTTTACTACCCATTATAGATGCCAGCATCATTCAAAACAGAGTTCAGTGTAGTACAGTAATAAAGTCAACCTTTATTTATTCTTGTATTGTGTGTGTCTGTGTTACTTAGAACATATTAATAAAGGCACAGTCCTATGCATGACAAAATTATTTTCTTTATGGAGTCATCAGTGTAATATTATGCTAATAATACTTAAATCAATTATCCTACACTATGTCAGTCTTGTTCATTGTTACTAGAGCTTTCTTCAGTACTTTCTTCTTCACTTGATTCCTCGCTAGAATCATCAGAGTTCCCATTCTTTGTCGCCTTTTTAGCCATAATTTCTTTAAACTGCCTCACAGTTATCTTCCTGGGCATAATTTCACGTAGAAAGTCTAATGTATCATCTTCCTGCACAACCTCGGCTATGTGCTTGTATTCTAAGAAAGTATTTTTACTGTTTTTGAAAGCCCGTTTCGCTAGATCTGTTACAAATAACTCCTGTAATACGAAAACACATAAATTTATTGCAGTTCTGTTTTATAATTTTTGCAATGGTATGAGAGTAAATTAGTTTATCACGTATAATGTTGTGTCTGTAGGAAAAAAGCTATTGTTTCGAGACAATAGGTTATAAGAGCGGCAAAACATTCAATACTCACGGTAACTTTCGTAACTAAATACAACGGTTCAGCACCTACTGCTTCGACGTCCGGTGAACTTTTCATTATAGTTTTCACTCTGGATAGTGGTAAATGCAAGTCTTTCTCAGATTTAGGAGTCGTCATTTTCTTTAAATTATTGTACGATTATTGCGAATAATATGAACGCGCCGGTTCCAAATATTTTTTAATGTCAAATTGACAGCACTACGGTATTGCCCTTTTACGTTTAGATTTGATACCAAAGTAGTTATGAAAGAAATCAATTATTTCTTTTTTTATGGAATCTTATTTATTTCTAATTCATATTTATTATTTTATCATCACCATTATAAAGACGTTGGTGTTTTATCGAAATTAGATTCAGATCAAGTAATGTACTGAATAGTACGTTGTTCATTGTGAAACTTTTTAGTGTATTATTTCTCCTGCAGCTGGCAACATTGTGTGCCCGCCATTTTTAATTTTCTACTAGTCTAGATAGCTGCTAGAACAGGGTGAATCGGCGAACGTGTGAAATATACCACGTACGTTACTAACCCTGTTCCGAGATATTTTTGCTATGGTATTGGTAGTATGTTTACAATATACCAAGCATCAGGGATAGAAAATAAAAGTCTTAAATGGTCTTAACGCTAGCTGTCTTTATTTTCCATTTCCTTATAGAAAATACTTTTACGAAAAACAGTATATAGGGCCGCTTGCGTGGCCGGCCACACTCGCGGGGCGCTGACTAGTGCCGTTTGCCGGCCCAACCAATCCGACATCCAATCAATTCTTACATGAAAACGATAAATAATACAAAAAATACTGATAACACGAGATCGTTAACCGATTTACAGCGACTTCTCAATTTTGATCAGTTCAGCGATGCCATCGTACATCTCCTTGACAGCGTCGTACTCGGTGAGTCCCATACGCCTCTTGTTGGAGATGTCGTAGACTCCGCCCTCAGCCTCGGTGTGCTCGCCGCGGGTACCGCGCACCTGCAAGTGGTACTTGGACGCGATCTCCTCCAGCTTCGCCTTGTCGGCGGCCAGCTTGGGCAGCTTGATGTGCACTGAGGCACGCACAGTTGTTCCCAGGTTGGTGGGGCAGAAAGTGAGGAAACCAAGCCTGTCATCGTGGGAGAAAGGAATGCGCTTCTCAATGTCGTTGACAGCGGTCACCAGCCTCTTGTACACCTGCTTCAGGTCACCACCCATCTGCATGGAGATAAGACGGAGATGGTCCTCTTCATTGCACCATACCAAGAAGGTCTTGTTCTCATTGTGGTAGATACCACGGCCAGAGGGCCAGAAGCGGCAAGCGTTGGCAGCCTGGAGGAAACGGTCACCCTCCTTGAACAGGAAGTGGTCATCAATGAGTTGTTGCTGGGTCTCCTTGGACATACCAGTCAAGGGGTAGAATGTGCCCTTGAGTTCTCCCTCAAGTCCAGAGAGAGTGCTGGCGACCTTCTCTTCCATCTCCTTGTACTGGGCCTCGGTCAAGCAAGGGTTGAAGGGGTAGCCCTCCATGGAGCGACCACAGCGCACACGGGTTGAGACAACGAACTCGCCAGCAGGGTCCAAGTTGCCAAGGGTCTCGACATCACCCCAGTTCTTGGGAGGATGCTTGTCGGTTTTCTTGAAGCCATTGTGGTAATCCTCGATGATGGGGTCGAACAGGTCAGCGAACACTGTGTACGCCTCAGCGTCAGGGGCGTAGATTCCGACACCAGAGTCCAAGTTTTCAACACCTAGAAAAGATTACATAACATCATTTAACCCGTTGAAATTCATCCCCTAAATTTGTTCATACAAAAGTAGTCTTTAAGCATTCGAAATAAGGTCTATAATATAGGTAGTGGAGAGCGGTCACCGGTGACCGCTTGGCATTCTATGGGTATTCTTATTGGTTTACGTGAAACTCTTCTATATTATCTAAATAGGTACATAATTATTATCGAAAAGTACCTATGTTCTATAGTGACGAGTTTTATCAATGTGTTTAATCAGATATCTATAAAGTAATAATAATCGACTGACGTAAAGTGTTTTTTTTTAAATGATAACTAATAAGGAGTCAAAGTCTACATATTATACTAACCAGACTGGATGCAATCCAGCAGAGTTGAGCCGAAGGAGGTCTTCTTGTTCTTAAGAGCGTCGAATACCTCCTTGGTAAGGTACTTCTTCAGCAGTGACTTGGAGTCAGAGGCCTGGAGCTTGCTGAAACCAGCCTCCAACTTCTCGATGGTTGCGGCGTCCACCATTGCTGCGGCTTTTCTGCAACGACATGCAATGTTTTCATTAGATATTTGTTTTATTTAACACATTATAAAAAAAAAACAGATTGAACAAGATCCTAACGCTTTTAACGCAGCACATGTCGCTCTAGTGCACATTTTTGTAAAAATAATAGTAAGGCACGACAATTCGACAATAATTTACAATAATGTTCCGTTATGGTCGTAACCAACTACAACTGCTTTATTTTTTAAAAGTGAAAAAAATAGTGACGTACCCATCAACTCTAGAATCGAGCGGTGGTAGAGTAAACCTATTTCAAAACAACCAAAAAGTTTTCAGTCGAGAATTATTAGGTTTAATGAATTCACAGGATAATATTATTTAATTATTTGATTATGATTTTAGTAATAAAAACGATACATAAAACTGAAAGCTAAATTAATTTTACAAATATTACGAACCGCCTGATGAGGTAATACGCGAGAACGGCACCACCGCAAACCACCACAGGAATTGTGACTTTCAGTTTATAATTCATACTGATGGAATTAACTAAAGCCACTAGCTATGTTTCAAATGGGTGTGAGAACTTTGGAACTGGAGATGTTACGCGGACCGGTTCGTACTTGGGATTGTTTTTGGCCGAACACACCCAGGGATAGGTACACTTCGTTTTGTGGTGGAATTACGTAATTTAGCTAGAGGTCGCCTTGACCGACACGCGCAAGTCGAACGGATGTGTCAGCTCACTGCGCACCGTTGCTTCTTCGCCGCGCGCAGCCGTACCTCCCACTCACAACCAACGAACGAATGTGTTATCGCAAGTTTCTTGTTACTTTGCATTCATTTCTATTCGAGAAGGTAATGCAGTAATTAAACATCGTCAGATTACGGAATCAACTTATCGTTCCTTGAATTTCACCAATCGTGATATTGGATATGAGTTGATATGATTATGAATAATGAATGTATGTAGGTGCATATTTGCGAAAGAGATTCTCAAAACTTTGCATGTCATCGATAGTTTATTTTGTTGTTTGTCTCTGTTAAACACCACCAAAACGGGTTTTAAAATTTAGGCACCTCATTTTGCAAAATTATAGCACAAAATTGTAAAAATTATTGCAACAATTAGACGACTTGTAATAACACATCACGCTATATAAAAAACTAATAGGTCGAGTGACACTTTAAATGGCAACTGCTTAGAATTATTACACGGCCAATTCATCCGGTACTGCTCAATTTTTACATCCCGAGGTTCAATGCCCTTAATTTTGCAATGAACTCGAGTGTACGGACGAAATATAGAATAAAAGTAAAATTACAATAATAGTCATAGAATTATTTTATGAGCATTTATGCAATTGTAACACTGATTAGCACAAGATTTTGCTGTAACAACATAAAAATTGGTAGTAAGCACCGGGATTAAATGCCGGTCAGAGAAATACGCACCCGTCGGCTTCGTCAGCCGGTTTGTTTTCCTTATTTTCTTTCGTTGCACAGCCACCCATTTTCACAAATACTAAATGTTAACTAGCCGCTAAAACATGCACTAATCACTAAATTCTACCGCAAATAAATAAAAGAAACAGGGAATACTATAAATGCAATGATGGAATGATATTTTGTCCAAATGAATGTATCGGAGCCGGGAGTGGCGAGGGCGAGGGGTGGCCCGATCGATGCGCGACACGCAGCACGCACGCGGGTTCACGCTTCCCGCCCTTCGGGAACCGCTTCAAAAGTTTTTGGAGGGAAAGTTCCCCTGATTTGCGCCACCGTTTACCTTCGCGGGTTGCATTTGAATGCAATTCAGAATTCTTAAAACAAGTGCTATATCATCTTATCGGCGAAATAGAACACTTAACGTTATCGAAGCACATCTTGAATAGGGATTTAGTTGTCACACAGTATACTAGGACCATTTTCCGAGTTTTGAAGCGGTGGTGGTGTTGTGGTGAAACGCGATCTAGGCGAAACTTTTCGTCAATAGACTAATATTTAAATGACCACCGCTTACCTTGCGCTTGTACAACCGTCAGAGTCGACTGCGAGGTGCAGAATGGTCTGTGCGGGTTCGAGCGGAGCGTTAAGCCCGCGGCAGCGTCCCGCGCCCCCCCTTCCCTGTCAACCTTGGCCTTGGTGATTCTTGCCTGGCCGGCAGATCGCAAGCCAGTTTGGTTTCGAATCATGATTTGGACCATTATCATCCCAGTAGATTTAAATCTCATACGTGATCCAAGGGGTGTTGTTGCAGAATCAATAGTTTTAACGTAGTAATACAGATTTGGATTTGAGAAATCAAAATGATAATTTACCGCCGTTTTCTTGTAATAAGAATGTTTTTATTATTTATTAATTATCAAAAACCATTGTTCGATATTTTTATAGTTAAAAGTTGAAAAACTTAATATTTTAACAAATACCTCTACATAAGTACATAAAGTCACACCTTTATCCCTTAGTTCCACAAGAGTAGGTTGAAACTACAAAACCCATTTCATAAATAAACTATTTTATTTTTACAGTTCATTTTAGTCTTATAAATACCTGGTCATAATTTATTTAATAACATTCCTAACAAATTTATTAATATTTTGCATAATTGCTAGAAAATTCAATTACAATTCGTAATCATAATCATAATCGATTGATTGTACGGTTCGCGTCACGCACTATTAGTTATCAACGATTAGGTGGGAAATTTAAAATTAGAACGTTGCTGGTTCTTTTTCGTGTCTGGATCGAGTCCAACACTTCAACGTTAGCGACGTTAGTGATCTCGACGATGCCAATGTCAAGTTTGTTATTTTTTTCACTTTCATTGCATAACTTTAGTAACGAGAGTACATTCGTTTATATTAATAAAATTAGGTACTTAATTACTTACTAAATCTCTTGATATAATAGGTATTACAAAGTGTTTGAAAACCAATGTTTTTAGTTCATCGTTTTGCATTAGATTTTAGGAAAATGATTCCTCTCTTTACAACGCAGTACCTACCTAAAGTCAGCTGTTGTTCCTCAAGCGACCTTTATTCCCCGTTTCCTTAGTCCTTGACCCAGAGATTAAAGTCAGGGACGCAGGGTAGCAATTACGTACGTACTGCCGGTCGATTCGTTCACCTACTTTCAAGGAAACCATAAAATTCACAGTCTACGGTTCACCTGAGCGGAAAGTTTACCTATTTTCTCGTCACGCCAGGACGACGAAATGTTTGGTCGATTGGAGTTTGGAGAATTATAAATTTATAATAGGTAGTACTTATCGATATCGTCACGCATGTCTTTAAAAAAGGGTAGATTTAAGGTAGATAGGTATATCGTCAAACAATTAATAAATAGGTATTTAGAATTTTATGAAATCTCTTTAGAAATTTTGTCTATAAAATACCTATAATCATAACTAGATTAACCTACCTATAATAGGTACTCGTGTGTTCCCCTTTTTATTTATTAAATACTCCTTAATGTTTTGCTGTAGGCACAATAAATTACAATAATTACTTACCTGATTAAGTCACAACGTACACATTCACGTCTTATCACAGACGTTTATGTTCATGAGATGAACAGTAATAATTTATTGAGTATCATAATGTTATCGAAGTCAGTCATTATTAGGTACCGTATCCCTTTATTTATTAACTTTCGCCGTGATAAGAACTAGCTGCCTATTCTGATAATATTATAGTGCCAAGGTGAAATGTCTAGGATTTACAACAACAGGATAATATTATGACAGTTATAAGTATAGGTACGTGTAGGTACTGAAATTTATTTTTAGTGAAATTTTAATATATGGAATCCCATCACTACAAAGTTGGTTAAAAGGAGTTCATTGGCGGCGAAGTTTTAGGTCCTTATTTAATTACAGTTGCCTACCTACCTACGCTTCATTTAGAGAACCCATGAATTAATTTTTATTTATGAAGGTAAGGTACCTATTGATTGCCTGTCTTTACAAATCTCAAACGGATATTTAAAATTAATATTTACGTTTTCACCGTTATTTTTAAGCTGTAAAACAAAGTTCAAGGCAGTTTTTGAATTCCGTCAATCGTCGGCTGGGAAGAAATAGCGAAGTTTCCAGAAAACCTTGGCAATGACTGTGACGAGCGACCTTGTTTTTGGTTCAAGCGTATTTAAATAGGTAGGCATGAAAGCATTGCGAGGCCGCGAGCTAATACCTACTCGTCTATCGTGATCGTTTATACGCCGTTATTTTCATATCACTTTCAATAGGTTGGGTATTCAAAAAAGTCGTGTATACATAGAGCCAAGGAGGTAGACTACCTGAAGGTACTTCTTTTTACCCATTACCTATTTAAGAGCTTTGGGACAATTAATTCACAAAAAATAAAAAGTCATTGATTTATCAATATGGTTATATGGTATCTATCCTGTATGGTTGACTAGTAAAAAGCATGTAACCAGTCGAAGAAGAACATAAGAACTTATCTAGGTAGGTACTATATAAAATACTAAGGTACATAATGCCACTTTAACACTAAAGAATATCTATTTTTAAAAGCTAAAGCTTTCTCTGAAGCGTGAAGAGTCCAATTAGCCCAAGGTTCTCTTTACACGATTCAGATTCCCTCGCCTTGAGCACTGAAGTGGAGGGTTGAAGCCTGAAGCTTGACTCGGTTGCTATAAAGAGCTGTTGGAGAACGTTTGAAGTGGGTAGTTTGTGTATCTTAGTGATACCTAGTCTACATAAGTAGGTATTTATTATTCTAGATAAAGTACCTACTTATATTTTTTTGAAATTGAATCTACCAACTTGTTTTCATTAGTTGTATCTAGGTTACTGTAAGTCTGTAACACACACAGGGACACATTATACCTACACAGGTAATTATACCTACATACATAGGACGCAATAAAAATCATAGAAGATTCTAGAAAGGTCTGTAAGTACCTATTTTCTCGGGGCGCTAGTCATACATAGACAACATAGATAAAACGACCTCTATCGATGCCTGAACAATGTATTATATTTACCTAACTGCCTTAGTACCTAGATACCTACATGAAGTTTAATCATACGATATCACCTGACACATCGCAGGCAAGCCTTCCAATATACGCCTATTGTTTTATTGTTATCTGATTAGATAATTACAAAATAAACTGCAGGATGAAGATTTCGATCGAAGTCAAGTGCAAAGCTTACGCAACAACCTTGATATTCTTTACTGCGGTATTTATTTGATGGGTCTATTCAACTATTCATTGTCATTATTACTTCATTAACACATATTTTTCTAAACCCTCGTCTTGTTGGAGTTTTTTCGGCTAATACCTAGCATAGACTTTGCGTTTGTAGCTTTGTAGCTGTTGGTATCTCTCATTTTTGTTAAATAGCACAAAGATAGTGTTTGCAGTGTTGTGGGTAGTAGGAAGCAGAGTTGGGCAAATTGTAATCAGATTAATGATTAAGGATTACGATTACATTTTGTAATCATCAATCAAGATTACAGATTACGGAAAGTAATCAAGAAAGTAATCATATCGGTGATTAATGATTATTAGTTTGTAATCGTAATTTTGATTACTTTTTTGATTACTTTTTTGATTGATGCACACTAACTACATTTAGGAATCGAGTTACAAAATTTGGTGTAGAATTATTAAAACCACTAATTTTAACTAGTTTTGGCCGACATAATGTACAAATTTCTGAATACGTAAAAAAATTTCCATCAAGAATGCATGGTAATGTCTAAAGTTGTTCATGGTGCACGGTTTCAGATTCTGAATTAGTATTTTGATGGCTTACCGGCCGTACCCCGTACCCCACCCAACTCCCGCACCCCGCGTGCCATATCTTCGAAATGCAATTGAGCACGTAGAAATTCTTTTTCGAATTTACTTAAGGATTTAAATAACGAAAGAGTACAAAACGTCCATGACATCCAAATTGGATCAGAAGTTTTTAGAAAAACTCAGACATACAAGATACATACTGATTGAATATAGAACCGCGTTTATTAAAAATATGTTTAAAAAATTAATCAAATCTACCCATGTAATCAAGATTACTGACTATTGTAATCAAAACTAATGATTACAAATGTAGTCATGATTGAAAGTAATCAAGATTAAAAGTAATCATGATTGATGTAATCATGATTACTTTCAATCAGATTATTAATCCGATTACAAAAGTAGTTGATTACGCCCAACTCTGGTAGGAAGTATTTAAAATTACAATTACTTATAGTCCTTTATGAGATTAACGTATGAAACTAATAGACTATGATATATATGCTAAAAATCTAACCGAATAAGACATAAAATCACCCTAAAATTTATCTAAGTTATCTTAGCTAAAATAAACATTTTATCTAAGCTGGCGTGCTAGATAGATGTGACTTCCTTCTTACTTATCCTTTGTTCCGTTTTAATAAGATACCTACGTAATAATTCATTCTAATTTGAGATACTTTTAAAGAGTACCTACATTTATATATATTTTTTTTGTTATTTAACCTTCAATGCACCGATATGAGACACAATAGAAAATACATTGTCTCGCGAGGATCTTCTTTTAGACACCAATGGTTAAGGTACAAAATAAAGAGAGCTAATATTATCATATCAGTAAATATGTCTACCTAAATAAGTCTAGTTTCCATGGTACCAATACAAAAGAGATGAAGCCGACCTTCCAGTCCGACATTGATGGTTTTATGACGTGATAGTAAAATAATGTTTATTGTAGACACGTCTATGCTATCCACGGTGGACAGTGAGACACGTGGTGTCCATCGCAATCATAACATCGTTTAGTTGGAACATGTGACTTCAATACTGTTGGTTTTCTTCTAGTTTACCTTGATTACATTATTGACATTTAATTTAAAAATACACAAAGCTGCACCGGGTATTTCTAAAAATCTTTCTTGGAATTATGATTTGGATAAATATATAACTACCGCATTTTAGATTCGAAAGTAAAACATATAATAAAACATAGGTTGATAACGCACTGGTAAAAATGAACAACAACCGCGCATTTAAAAACAAAAGTTACCAACAAAAACACATGAAATGCTAACGATCTCGTTCTCCAGCTCGCAATGAAAATACTTTTCAATTTCATCGTGAAACGAACCAGCAAATTCCGGCCTAAATATTCGGGCGGCGGAAAGCATTTGTGCGACCTTCAGCGGCTTCAGCCATATTAGACCTCACTCCCACGCGAGCAAACCACCACAATATTCATAACGTTCCTTTCATTCCAATCTTTTGAATCCTTATAATATACGGTACGGCCGGTATTACGTATCGATTGAAAAGCTCGGCCTTGCCCTATTTTCATCATGGCCGGCCAATGTCAGTGTCGAAGTGAAACCTTGTCCAAGGATCATTTTCATGGTTCGTGTTTTTGACGCAATGACGTCAGAGTCAGATGTTTTGTTTACACGCTAATTCCAGATGTTTACAGCAGCTAAACCAGTTTTGGAGGTGTTACGTAAAATTATACCTAATCACTATATAGTACCTAGACGTCTATCTTAATGTATGCGATTGTTATAAAGTTCAGAACTCCCGTCGCATATTTTAATAAAATTATAATTCGGGTACTTTAACAAATTAATTCCGTAAAATCTTTTGCAGATTTCTTTATCGATCTTTACAACTTAATTTCTATATTATGCTTAAGTATGCCATAAAAATATTATAAATCGGCTGACAAGTAAAAAAATGGCTTCCAACTGCTTAAGATTGGCACCTACGAGGAAACCTTAAAAAGATAATCGTTTGTCTAGACTTTAGCTACAAATATCGGTTCTCTCTCGGAGCAAGGACAATGGAATTATCGTCAAGCCATCAGCTGTTTATGACTGAGCCGTAACAATTATGTAAATTAGCGATCATGAACGTGCTTTGCTTTTACTTGACATAGAAATTTCCTGAATAAATCTAATTATTTATATTTCGTAGGTGCAGTTATAGATACTATTACCTCATGCAATGCATGGCACTAGCATAGTTTGTACTTTGTATATTATATTCAGCACAATTCAAGGAAAATTTTACCTTTGAACTTTGTCTATTAGGATTTACCTCTATAGGGAAAAATGGGGGTATGTAATTTTCGATTTTATTCGAGAAGTCATCAAACTTACTTAGCAGCAATAGCGCGCTCAATAAGGCCCGCTGTCGACGCCCACGCCTCAAGAGTATGGTGGCTGAGGTGCCACATCTTCGATTTTCAAGGAAGCAGGTCCGATATCACTTTTATCTAATTGTATGTTTGTATGTCTTAACACAAATACTTTGAAAAAATTCCACTAGGTACTTTAGCAACACTTCGATCGTATGATAGCTTTATCGACGATACTTATCTCACCGGCTTCACTTGACAACGTGGACTCAAGACAAGATGTTCTATTTTATACTTAGACTTACTTTCTAAAACTAACCTCATATTACTAAAAGAAAAATATCGTTATAAAAAATGAGGGTGGTCAGAATTTATTTAAAAAATAATTGTTAGCTACCTACATTATAAGGTTATATTTTTATTATAATTTGAGCTATACGGTCAGCATTAGAATAACCTACTGAACACTGTTTATAAAGTAAACAATTAGTATTTTTAACGATCAGAGGCGCACGAGTCTAGAAAAACACTATTATCAAACAATTCATACCTAGGTACATCGAATATGTGTCGTTATTGTAAAACGGAATAAAGCAACTGAAATTCTGAAGCCCTCGTATAATGTATAACACTTACCTGCTCTCCCATTGAAGAATCGAGAACAGTATGTAGGCTAGTGTGAAAACCAGGAAAACCCTGATCCACCTCCTCGGAACCACTTGTAGCAGCAATGATATCATTGTAGAACTTTCGCGAACGGTGCCTTTATCGGTCACTTAGCATGGTACTCAACTGGTTATCAACAATTTCCAGTACCTATCTTTAGGATTACGATATTATCAACGTGTTTTTTGTAACGTGGACAATCGTGCCTTACTTTCGTTTACATAGGCGTGTCTAATGTAAAAATTATGAAACTGATACGTAATTAAATTGTAGCTAATAATAGCATGTTTTAAAATGACGCTTGACAACGGATAAAGGGTATTATTTTGTGTTATAAGTACTGAAGTTTACGTTTTTGTAGAAGTATCCTTTTACTAGTACCTACTTACATAAATAAATATATTATTGTGAAGAGTAGGTATTTCAGGATATTATTAACCTACACATATTTAGAGTGCCTCGTTGGCCAAGTGGGCGCAAGTGCGACTGCTGGTCAAGAGGTCTCGGGTTCGATTCCCGAGTCGGGCAAAGTATTACTGGGTTTTTAAAAATCTCAGTATTAGCACGGAGTCTGGAAATGTGCCCGGTATATGGCAATAGGCTCACCTCCTATCACTTGGGACTCATAACATAAATAGTGAAAAGTGGGTGTTACATTGTACAGTGGCATTAAGTGCCGTAATATGCACCTCTACCTACCCCTTCGGGGATAAAAGGCGTGATGTTATATTGTGTTATATTTAGAGTGTTCGCCCTATACTATGAAGTTGTAACATTGGACTATGAAACTTCCATGATCGTGGTTCATACATTTATTTTCTGCAGATTGTATACAACTATTCATGTTAATCTGTCGAAAACATGTTGAATAATATTCTACTTCTTAAGACCTGGGGATCAGCATTACGTTTGAGATAGTCTCCACGCTACGTGATTTAGGGATCGTTATTATAAGTCACTGAAAAAGAAATTGTTACTGAATGCTTTATGGTACCGGTGTTGCTAGACTTAATTAATATTGTCAGTATGCATACGTTAGACTATTAGATATATTTCTTGTTTTTTGTTTTGTTTTTTATTTTAGTAAGTTTTGTAATTTGAATTATACGTCAAGCGTGTCTTAATATTGTTACCACATACTTATGCGTACCATATTGGATAATGTATCAGAGAGATTGTAAAGCATTATTTTTTAAATATCTAACGGATGGGGTTTCTCGTTCATTCTTCTCCATTAGCATTTACATTTTGGAACGAGCACTTAGCTTCACTGATGGATAGACTGACGACCTATTATTTATTTTGTATTAGCGACCCGCCGCGACTTCGCACGGATGCAATATGCATGGTTTATACATATAAACCTTCCTTATGAATCACTCTATCTATTAAAAAATACCGCATCAAAAACTGTTGCTTAGTTTTAAAGATCTAAGCAAGCATACATAGGGACAGACAGACGGCGGATAGCGACTTCATTTTATACTATGTAGTGATTTGTTGTCGTTTCAAAAGTACCAAATTATGGTTTAATTGAAATAAATGCTTTGACTTTGGTCCATCTATAAAAACCCAAAAGTACCCGTTTGCTGTCACGCGGTTTCATAAAAGAACTAACAGACGTTTCTTGAAGTACCTACATTTTAGTACCTAGCATATTATCATCTAAAACAATCATCTCAAAATCATTGACATTTTTAGAAGGAATATTGATAAGTATAATCTTTACTACGAAGGTAGATAAATGTGTAATTCGCGCCTGATGTAAGATATCCGATGATTGCCACATCAACTGCTGACTTACTAAACTTGAATCAGAATTTGTGATAAACAATCAGATTATGGGAACCGAGATATTGATGACAAATGCGATGGTGACGTTTGTTCGTATTATTGCAGGAATGTGAATGTGTTGTGGTTTGTTCGTGTTGAGGTTCTTCTCGGAAGGTAGATGACGGAAGAGACTGTGGTTCGGCGTCGGCTATTGTTCTGAAGCCTCGCACAAACATTAGCAGGTGCCTTTTATACTAGGTACTATAAACATTACCATATGTTTAAATCTATGTAAAAAGCGGCTTGAACCCATTTCAGTCCTGTGAATGTAATTTTTCAAACACTTACTATGTGTAGGTTACATCAGAAAATTCAACCACGTTTACCTATTATTTTAAACTAGCTTCTGCCCGTGACTTCGTACGCGTACCATCCCATTTTTTCCCGTCCCCTTTCGTGATTTTCGGAAAAAAGTAAAAAAAATTTGGTTAAAAATATCCTATGTCGGTTTCCTGGCTCTAAGCTACCTCCCTACCAATTTTCAGCCAAATCTATTCTGCCGTTCTTGAGTTATAAGTGGTGTAACTAACACGACTTTCTTTTATATATATAGAAGAAAACGCAAAATAAACAAGTGACGGTCGGATATCTGTCCATCTAGTTACCTATTTCAAAATTTTACACAGCTATACCTGTCGCGGAGAACCTAACGGGTTACCGGGGCTCCGGCTCGACGTGCAGGAGAAGGAATAGGGTGGTTTTTAGTCAGTAAGAGTCTGACGCTCCCTCCCGCCTCACCCAGGCAGAAGTTATTTATTTTATTTATATCGTACGATACTCCAACAAACCTATCAATTTTCCTTTACGTACGTTCATAATGGCAACTGCGCAATATTGCAGTGCTATGCATTGTCCTGTTAGATTGGAGGGCGCAGTCGCCATTGAAGATGAATAAGAGCAATATCCGGCCTCGCCCGCCTCTGCTAAATCTGCGTCCTCCGCTTAGACACCAGCACTTTATACTACACCAATCTGACAAATTACTAGACATGATTTGCATCTTTATTGCTGGTGGGTTAGAGTTAAAATTCTATTAGCCTTTGGCTGTTCGTGTTGGTATACGTACGGAACTGTGGGAATTTATTGCGACTAGGCTTATTCTAAGTGGTTTTAGCAGGACATCTTTACACATTACATTTTTTTAAATGACCATCTCATTTGGTATTGGCCGTCAACCTGATAATTCTAACTTTATTAGGTAGGTACACATTTTCATCATTTGTACAAAAACACCGAGCAGAATTTTACCGTTGACCGTTCATTCAAACTGTGGAAAACTTTTTATAAGTCACATTGGTACCTTCCGCACATGAGGTGCGCGTAGGCACCGTGAGTCACTATTAAATTGATTCATACACCGCCGAACACATTCCACGTTGAACCTTAGTAATTTTGGCAGTTAATGGCGAAATAACCAGTTTTTTCCACGAAATTATAAGGATAAGAACAAACAATAAGGATTGTATTATATTGGTCAACATATACATAGACAATGTTGCTTGTTGTGAGACGAGTGACGTGACACAGAGTGACGTCATAGAAGACACATTGTCACTTTGTACTGAAACACGATAATGAGAATTTAAAAGTTTATTTATACAATACAAAGATAGACCTAATTTTTAACGTCTGAACAGGAAACCGCTAAGCCAATTTCGATGAATTTAGAATAAAGACAGACAGGAAATTAACAGGGTATGAAAATTAAATACCTAATCAAATGGAGAAATGTAAAAACAACAACATTGAATTACATAATTTAGAAAATTTTATTGTTTCACAATTACTTAGTATTTTTAATTATTCAAATATTATAGCAGGCAGAAGGAAAGTCTATGGCTTCTTAATTAGGAGAGAAGATGACTATTTTTGGGCGGCTTTATCTGTAAAGAAAAAAGAACTAAGTGTTAAAGTTAACCGGATAACTTATCTTCTTGCATCTTAGGTTTAAAAACCGTTAATAGGTATACAGCTAAGTACTAATTCTACATTTTATAATTAAATACGAGTGTAACTGTGAGCCCTTCGATTGCCTATATATTATTTTATCGTATATAGTAACTTTACCTGAATAATTTCGCAATCAAGTTGAAAGGGGGTGAAGGTAGGGCGGGGCGGCGGGAGGGGCGGAGTCGACTCCCGCGCAGATATGCGACACCCTACCCTTATTCTGAATGTCGATCCACGCGATCGAAACAGCATTATAGTTCGATCACCTGCCAGAGAAAGGGGAATTTGTAAAACATTTAGAAAGAACATTCGAAGGTCGTTTCGCCGGTAGACTAGCTTATTTTTAGAGAGGAATTCAAAAACATTGTGTCGCAACAAGATTTAGGTACCTATCTACAAAGAGGAAAATAGATAAGAAAAAACATCTCGATAAAAATGAGAATGAACATGAAAAAATCTATCATCGTATACATCTCCCAGCTTTAAAAGCACGTTAGTTGTATAATTTGAAAATAATTGTTTGTCTGACAATCATTTCCCACATTAGCATGGCATGTTATCCGACGTGACGTGACGGCTGCACCGTAATAGGCGCGCGAGTGACTCAGCCGGCAGCCGCGTGGTCATCGACCTCGCTGCACTCACGCGCA